GGATATTTTTGAATTCGTCTCAATAAGTACTATTCATAATATACAACTTTTAAAATTTTTACTTATGGAGAATTAAAGTTATTGATCGTTAAATTTTTATATTGACAAGCGTGATAAAAGAAACAGGTCAAGTAAAAAAGAACAAAGGAAGTAACATTTAACAATTTGAATTATGAGAGAATAAAAAAGAAAGACAATTTGTTTTAATAGTTTGACCGTAACAACAATAATTGTAACTATACTTCATCAATAGATTTATTTACTTATCAAAAAATATCAAAAAAAAAAAAAAAGGTTGTTCAATAAAGCCTTAATTAGGAGCTGGTTAACTTATAGTACGTATAACTAATAAAAATGTGACGATATTACTCCGTATAATAGGCATAATCAAAATATTAATTTGAATTGAGTAATAAAAATTCATCTCTTATTTATGTTCTCTGCTCAAGCTAGTTATTAGATCACATTATTATTATTATGCCACAGCTTGTTTTTCTTAAGTATTTTTTGAAGACAAGATGTAAGTTTTAACAAGTTAAATTCAGAAAGTGGACTATTATTTAGAGTGTATATGCCAGATTCAAATCACGACATCAAATGATTGGATAGTAACGCAGTATTTTGTTCTCTTATATACACTAATAAACTAACATATATATTAAAATAAGATCAAGCTTGAGCTCTTCATCAAGCCCATTACTCCATAAAAAACGACTACACATATATCATGGACAATAATTATTTAATTAAGAAAATTGAAATAAATTAACTAACAAATCAAAAGGAAAAATTGTTGTTTTTACCATGAAACAACAAACTTTCATGCACTACAACAATAGTAATTACAACACCAAGCTAAGCTTGGTCTAGTGGAAAGGAGAGCATATTCTAATCATGAGGTTAGAGGTTCAATAGTCGGCTAACTCGGGCTGGGTTGACCCATGAGCAATTCCGATCCGATAGAGCCCTTCATCTTACCAACCAACAAAAAAAAAAAAAACAATATAGTAATTATAACATTAAAGAGAATTTTTATGTGTTCTTGGTAAATGCATATTAATCCACGACCAAAACATATGTTAAGCAACCAAAATTTTTGTGAATAGTACACTTAATTTTTATCTTCAAACTAACCAAATTTCATGAAAAATATTTGTAGTTCATAAAAAATAATCCACCTTTTTTTTTTTTTACATTTTGAAGAAGAGGAAACTATCCAGGGAAATTAGTATTGGTACATATCGAGATTAATGTGATTATTTGCTCTATAAAAACTCAAATGTACCATCATAAACTTATTGATGAGATAATTGGATATTACTAACCATAAGCAATCTAAATAATTATGTATGGATCGATATTATTGTATAGGAAAAAAAAATCGAGAGTATTGTTTTAAAAAATTACTTATTATATTACATAGTCTCATATATGAGGATAATTCATGATTACGTACTAGCTAGGGAAACCATCAAATTAAAATTAAAAGTTTCTCCAACGCTGTAGATTATTTTTTCAACATGAAACCAAAGAAGTTGTAAAAGTCACGAAAGTGATTCTAGCTATGCGTGAAGATTTTATTTAAGAAAGACTTGAAGATAGAGTTAAATGAGGCATAGCTTTAATTTGGTATTGCATTAATGCATAATCACTCAAGCTAATTAATTAAAGTAGTGTCATCATCAATGTAAACACAAATAATGCATGCAACAAAGCAAAGCATTCCCCTTTTTACCAACAAAGAATTTTCTAGATCAACGTAGGATTCGATTGTGTGATATTGTGGATTTGTAATGAAACTTCTAAACCTTTTGTTGTACATTGTTTTCACCCATTGGTTCTATTATTTTATCTGGATAGTAATAAATTTTACAAGAAAACAAGTTCTTTTTAAATATTGTACAGATTATATAATATCCACTTAGTGCACAATGGTTATGCTTGGATCTTGCTTACAAGTGCCCCACGACGTTAGTTAACTAATTAATATAAATTTAAAATAATATTAAGTTTGGAATGCGTGACAAAAGCATACGTCGATTGGTGTAATTAGTTTTCATTTTACTTTAATATTTCAAGATTCGGCTCTCTTATCTGACGCCCCGAAACACTCGTTAACTTTTGCCTTAATGCATATAATATGCAGGGATTGCATATAGCATTACCCATTTTAAAAAGCTCATATTTCCTTTCTTTGACATACTTGCAATGATACAAGTCATACAACCTTAAGTAACACATTTTTAGGAGGTAATAAGAGTTAGTTATTATTTACATTACGTACAACGTGTACAACTAATCTCGTATAGGTAAGAATTATGTACAACGTGTATGAATTATTTTGATTATTTATTTTATTCACATTATATAATCTCGTCTTTAAAGTATATGTCATAAGGGTGTGTTGCAAATATAAGAACACAAAAAAAGTATTTATTTATTTAATTATATACAAGAAAATACTACGTATAAAGCTAACAGAGTTTGAGATATAAAAGGCAAAAGCTAATAACCTTATTGTGAAAAACAAAGAATTAAAAAAGAGGCATAAGTTAATCAACTTTTAGTTTTACTACAATACGACGTACTTATATCTATGCCGACATCAGTTCAATTTATTATACTACGTTTGTATTTCGTATTATTATATATTTTTCCATATTATATAGGGGGATTAAATTATTCAACTTTTTTTAAAAAAAAAAAAAAATTATTCATCTTATCATATGCCTTCGAATTAATTACGGAGTGCTCCTTTTGTCCTAAATGTTTTGTCTTATTTGACTTTTTACGATCTCTAAACGCATCTTAAAACATATACAATATAACTCAATTTCTGTACACAAAAATTATAAAAACTTAATAATATTAAAATATAAATGAGACAATTCCAATAAAATCCCACTATGTGAGTATTATTATCACTTACAGATTAATGAAAATTTGTGGTTAAAGTTTAAAAAGTTTGACCCAAATATATATATATATGTGTGGAATATGCATCTTAATCACTGTAGAATTTATCAATTAAACATATGATTAGATAAGATTCACCTTTTTTTCAAGGTTAAAACTGTTGCTAATCGCACTACAATTGTTTTGAGAAATCCATGCGAATATGTGATATGATAGATCACGAAAGTCATGAAAATAACAGAGATGATATAGTTGAAACCTCTAATAAAGTAATAATTACTCCTTACAACCTAATCAAATACATCACAAAAGATGGGAGACTATATACGAGTACCACATAAAGGAATAACCAACAACTAGCATGTGCGAATTGATTTAAATCATTGAATTTTTAATTAATTAAAAAACGAGAATGTTATATGCAATAACTTTAACACAAAATTTTATATGTGGTTGGCCACAATGTGTGGCCAGAGTTACTTCTAGTCATGGGTTACTCGGTCAGGAATTACTTGGTCAAAAGTTACTTGATCGGTCAGGGGTTACTCGATAATGGTTATTACTCGGTCGGTCAGGGGTTATTCGATTGATCAGGGTTTACTCAGTTAGGGGTTACTCGATTGGTCAGGGGTTACTCGGTTAGGGATTACTCGGTCGATCAGGGATTACTCGGTCGGGATTACACAGTCATGAGTTTTTGTGTGTGTCAGCTGGCCACATAACATGAGAAATTAAACGCGCAAAAGGGTTAATGACGACACACATAAAAGGGACTCATCATTGATCAATAGATTGACCTTACAAAGTCGATTACAAATCCATCCAAACCATGACTAAAATTACAAATTTTGATTTGAATAGAACTCAAATTGTTTAGACTCAACCCATAATATCAATGCTAGTGATAATAACTTTATTTTATCATAAAGTAACAGATAAAATAATTATTAGATACATTATATAATCATATCTTAGAATGGATCAGATTTGGTCTGAATTAAAGCTGATGCAATCAAGGAGCTCACTGCATCATCCAGATACTATACAACCCAATACAAAATTACCAAATCAAATCTAATTAATATTTGAAGAACAATAATAATGATGACGTCGACAACAAGATGTGTGGCATACGCGATCATAAATGGTATAAATTATCACATATGCATGTATTAGTAAATTAAAGCCCCTTAAAACTTTATTTATTAACCATGCTTTAGATGGATGGATTAATAGTAATCATTGTAATCAACCCTAGCTACTAATTATATTAATTAGCACATATACATGGTCAATAACATTTGCAATGCTTAGTTAATTAATAACCCTAGTCCATTAAAATGCTTTATTATGGTATGTGGTGCATGACATATATATAAATAAAACTATGTTATAATATCTAATGAGATGTAGCTAAGGTTTGAGAGAAGCTAAAAATCACATGAGATAAATTAGGTTAACCTCAATACGCGACAAAATCTTATTTGTATAAAAGATATTTTATCTTAAGTATGGCGGTGGTGCTCATAATTGTCATAATGTGTACAAGTTCAATAACTAGTAATATTTTTTTTTTTTGAAAGATGTTCAATAACTAGTTAAGTAGTAGTATTACTAACTTTGCTTCTAAAATCCTCATCCAAAAGGACACGTTAATGTTGATGCGAAAGTAGAAAATATATAGTGCATATCACGGGTTGCACTTGGACCCTCAATTCCCCACCCATATCCAACAAATATTCAATAAATAAAATCATCCTATATTAAATCAATTTTTTAACATAAAAGTTAAAAGACCTTTGTCCGTCTTTATTTAGCTAACATACTTTGAGTCTTTGATCAATACTAAATTTCTTTGTACGTATTTGATTGATTTTTTATTTTATTTTTTTATAATGAGTAGTCGATAGTTAAATCCAAAGTAAGGTAAATAAGAGTTACTCGTAAATGAGAAAGAACTACACTAATATAGTGTATCAATTAAATAAAGACAGTATGATAAAGCGTGTTAACTAAATAAAAAATGTGGGGTAAATATATAGAGGAGAGAGTCCCATCATCCATGCAAGTGCATTAACCAAAATAGTGCATATGAAAGTTTTAAGTTTTAACCAACTCACATACCACAAGCTTGAACAACACCTAAAAAAGGTCACTTTCTTCTTTATCACAAGGTCACCTCCTTCCCACTTCTTCTTCCTACTATATATATATAGCTTCACATTAGCTTTTCAATAAGTATTAACTTACAAAAAACATCTATCCCTATAAAACAATCATTCAAAATGTATCATTATAAAACCAAAATCGCCATCTTACACATGCTCTTCTTCATGCTTGTTACAACATCTCTAGCACGCTATAACAGCTTCGGCGAAAGCCGAGGTCGGAGAATAGAGTCGACGGCGACGACAACAACATCGGGCACAGTTTCATCACCCTTAGCAGAAGTTAACAAAGGCAATGAGGATACACCAACGGGCGCCACGGGGTCAGCCCACGGCCCGAATTGGGATTATGGATGGGGTTGGGGGGCCGGGCCTAGAAGCGGGTGGGGATACGGATATGGTTCAAGCCATTCCCCTACAAGTTTCGGACGGGGTTACGGGTTTGGGTATGGGTCCGGGTCAGGGTCGGGGTCGGGCTCCGGGTCAGGGTACGGGTATGGGTCAGGAGGCAGTGGTGGTGCCGGCGGGTATGGGTATGGAGCTGGTGGAGCTCATGGAGGGAGTGGTGGAGGAGGTAGCTTTGTGAGTTCTCCAAATCATGGTTAATTATATCATTTAAATGCTGGATTATTTCAGCTGGTATTATATGGATAATAGTATAATATTTGGTATTAACTAATTTAAGAGTATGTTTTTTTTTTTTTACACCTTTTTATAGTATGCATGTGCAGTAGTGTTGGACTGTTGGCGGGTGTGGGATCAGTGGATTTATACAGTTTATGTGTATGTACTAAGTGGAGATCATTAGTGGTAAAATAGAAGTAGAGTATGTAATGCCATATATATTGTAACTAGTTTTTGTCCCGAAAAATGTCCCGTGTCATTGTAATAATGAGAGTTTTTTTTTTTTTTTTTTTTTTTTTTTTTGTAATATGAGAATATAATTGTTAACTTGATATAGTTGTTGGATATTTACATTTGAGACTAGTTATATGTATCATGATTAGATGAAAACTAAACATATTCCAAACCGTATGAACGATGTAGTGTAGCATAGAGGTTCTAATTACTCATTTTGCAAGTTGTATTGAATTCATATCTTATCTACTATTATACTCTTATAGTGTACTGTAGTTTGAAGGTCATAACTCATAAGTCATAACTAGTCCTAGAGTTGATCAAAATAAGTCCGATCCAAAAAATATTAGGTTTGGGCATATTTTTTGGCCCCAAACTTTAGGCTTAGCCTATTTTTAGGTTTTGGGTAACTTAAATTTCAATTTTAGTAAAAATTTTGCGTGGAAAACCTGCTATTTTCGGCACAGAATAGCGGATTTGATACAATTTTTGGCCCGAAGTAAGGCCCAGCTAGAAGCCTTGGGCCAAATTTGGCCAAAGTAAGGCTTGGCCTGGCTCGTGATCACCTCTAACTAGTCATTTTGTCTTTCCATTCAATTTAAGTTAGACTCTCTTTTCCAACCCAATCACCTCCATGTGTCAATCTAAGCAATTCTAACCGCCTAATTCTAATAAGTCATGTATCGAGTCAAATATATTGTCTAACCTCCCGTCTAGCCATATATAGTGTCTAACCCAATGTTAAGGCCCCTCAAGTCAAAATCCCTGTATGGGGCACATAAAATTCGAAATAAAGTATAATCCCATTAACTAAATTGAATCGGGCCTTAACATCATATCTCATACCCAAACCTATATAAAAGTAATGAGCTTGTCGGACCAATTTGGATTTTTCGAGTCAGGTTCAGGTTTTTAACTAAAATGGCTATTTTGACTTGCCCAAACCTATCCCTTTTTAGACCTGGCCGTAGTTAGCCAGCTCTAGTCCAAAGTCCATTCCACCTATTTAAGTTAAGTCCTAAGTCTTATTTGGACCCAACCTATATATTCTAATTCCGAACCTAGTCCCTTCAATCTAATCTTATATCGAACTCATTATAATCTAACAAACATTACGTTCTTAGGTTTAGGAGACTGAAAAGATTCTAGCTTAGACCCAAATCTACTACGTTCATTGGTCTAGGTTCCTGTAAAGGTTCTATTTAAGCACAAATTTGCGTTCATAAGTCTAGTTGCCTTATAAAGGTTCTATCTTAAGCCCAAATATGATTTAGCTAGCAATTGGTCTAAGTTGCACCCTTGTGCAGCTACAATAGATGCAACACCAGCCCATTGAAGAAGCTCAATTGCAAACAAGCCCAATTGCAAACGTGACCCAAACCAAAACGCAGCCCACCCACACAAATTTTACAGAAAAACCGTCACTTTCCAGCCGCCATATTTTTTTTAAATATAATTTTTTTAAAAAAAAATTGTTTAATCATATCAAAATTAAATTTTTGAATTCAATTTCTTTTCCCTGTGATTTTCTCGCTCTAACAATCAAACAAAGTTCATTCTCTCTTCTCTAAATAATTTGGATACCTTGTGTTCATAGAATATTTTGGAATTTTACAAAAAAAAACTATCACTTCCCAACCACCATATTTTTTTAAATATAATTTATTTATTTTATTTTTTTTAAAAAAAAAAAAATCGTTTAGTCTATATTAGTGCATGTTCATTATTTGGATACCTTATTGTAACACCCCCAAATTACCCTCCAGTAATAACAATTACAAAGCATGATTACGGGAGTAACTTAGGAGCATTACCGCCACGGGATTACGTAAGGCTTTTCAAAATACAAAGACTTGCAATGAAAAATACATACTTAACTCTTATTAAATAATAATAGTAATAATAGTTTCAAAACTGAACCACACGAGAACTCTTCATACAAAACGTCAACCATGAAATCTAGACTAAGTGGTTATCGCCCTTTGTCCCAATGCAACATTTAGATCACGTCGACTCATCATCATCACCTATCTACTTATCATAAGTGATAAGTAGAGCCAAGCCAAAAACAAAAGAGAAATACGCGTTAGTAAAAAAACTAAGTACATATCAATGCTAGATATGTAAAATCATCATTTTATTTAATTAAAAATGCTTTCCTAAGATTTAGCATTTGTAAATAATCGATCATTATTCAAACCTTTCATAAATAGAAATTCCATATTTAGAAACATTCCAAAATCGTCAACATCCCAAAATCAATGACTTTCCAAAAGTAGATTCCAATAGAAATGGAAGATCAACATTTTTGTAAACTATTTTCTCAACCTAAGTGTGCAAACCCCTCAAATTAGTAACTCGTTTACACAATCTATACTTGAGGAAAGACTAGATCATACAAAATTCATAATCTTATCATTTATCTCCGCATAGTGGGAGTCAAGAAAAATCCAATAATATATTTGATAAATTAACCTTCCAATTCCCATGTATGGGATGATTAAAATGATAACATTTCCCTTTTAAACAATTTGGTAAACAAAGTAAGTTCACTAACAAGCTAATAAAGTATTTAAATATTTAAGATCAAGCAATCGTTTTTATTGAAACATGTTTACACAATGTAATTTATAAACATTCATAAATCATTGTTCAACATTCAAACATAGTACATCATTCAAACCATAAAATACATTTGTTAATAAAATCACATAGTTAAAGATCTAGCCACGAATACGTAGCTTAATCTTTGCATACAACCATACGAAACCTTTAATAACAAAATTGACACTCGTCCTTCAACAAACCAAAAATCCTAATTAATGCTCTTTGAACAAACAATATAAAATATCAACCCTAACTAATTGTGCATGAACAATTTCTTTAACCCTTTTTATAAAATCAATGTTTATTTTTATAAACCAATGTTTAAAGTTCAAAAATAGAGATTGACTCGACTAAATAAGTATTGGTGCATAGGCCTTGTATATTTCACTTGCAAATAGGATGGCATTTTTGTAAATAATGGGAATCTGAGAAAAATCGTGGTAGAAAATATGATGACAAAATGTACCACTACATGCATAATAGTACATAATAGTACACAAAAATATACCACTGCACCATTAAAAGAGAGAATAAGTACCGTCGAATTCTCGATTGCCCTCCTATATGCATGCAAAATACATAACCCCTATGCGCCTATATGCACTCCACTCCACCCACTTTTAATGGGTAAAGAAAATAGGTAAATGGGTTTTGGGGATTTGGAGTTTACTGCCAAATTGGTTTATTAAAGTAAGAAGATCAAATGACAAAACCAAGTCTGTCTTGGTTCAATAAGGCACGCAAGAGGGGAGCAGAGGAGAACGAAAGGCTCCACCTCTTGGTGGCTGGTCGGGCAGCGAAAGGGGGTGGCGGAAGGGGCGGCAGACGGCGAACCTCCTGGCCGGAGCTAATGGCGGCAGTGGAGGTGCCGTGCCGCGGTGGGGCGGTGATACGGGTAAGAGGAGAAGGAAATTTGGGGTATCATAATGGGTAATCAATTGCTAATATTTGTGGGTACTCTTGCTATTGAATTGGGATGAAAAACGTGCTAAGAGTTGGGTCTATTTATAGATGAATTTGGGAGTAAAATCAGATTAAGAAGAAACTTTGATTGGTTAACAATGGAGGTGCATCTAATGGTTGACAAGGAATTGATAATGGTGATAGAGTGGATGAACTCCAAGTGTAAGAAATTATTTCTACAATCAGATTTATAGTGTAGGGGAGGTAACATTTGGGGAGGTAATTGGAAGAAGCTTCCATGGTTATGGTGTATGAACATCATACGTTGATGTTGTTGATTGGGGAAGATGGGGTGGGTTTCTATTTTCTTTTTCCTTTTATTGTGTGGCTACAAAAATCTGATTTGGGTTATACTTTGTAAGAGAAAAATGGACTTTAAAGCATTTTTATGGGTTAGAGGAAAATGATAATAAGTCAATGGCCCAATAACTATGGTTATGGTATAGAAAATAGTTTACACTCATAGAAATTTATATCATTTTAAAGTCTTAAAATAATAACTTTATAAACAAAGTTTAGCAAAATATAATTTGCTTAATATCACTTTGAAATCACAAGAGTTTAGAAAATATTTATAAATAAATAACTCAAAATATCTTAGGAAAAACACCTTAAAATAAGGTGTATAATATAATAAATTCTGAGATTTGAAATAAAGGTGAAAATCTTTTAAGAAAATAACTTTTCCATAAGGGAAATTAATTAAACCCAAATTAGAACATATTTAAATGTAATAATTATGATTAAAAATTAATTAAATAGGCTTAAAAATATGAGGTATTACACTTATGTTCATAGAATGTTTTGAAATGTTCATAATATAAATATTTGTTGTTCATATGATAAATATTCTTAAAAATTAATGTTTATAAAATATGTTTATATTTTGAATGCTTATGTTCACTTTCTGAAATATATATGTTCATATATTTTATGCATATGTTCACTTTATGAAATGAATATGTTCATATAATTTATGCATATGTTCACTTTTTGAAATGCATATTTTCATATTTTGAATGCTTATGTTCACTTTCTTAAATGCATATGGTCATACATTTTTTATGCATATATTCTCTTTTTGAAATGTGTACGTTCACTTTCAGGGGGCCAATGCATATGTCCATATTTTGAATGCGTATGTTCATTTTCTAAAATGCATATATTCACATTTGTAATGCATATGTTCATATTTTTAATACTTATAATGCGTATGTTTCAATTTTATGTACTAAATGTTCATTTTTAGTGTCCTAAATGTTCATTTTGTACTAAATGTTCACTTTTAAAGTGAATCGTGTTCATTTTTTTTCTCCAAAAATTATACACAAATATTAGCAACTTAATTAAAAAAAAAATCAAAAATCGTAATAATAAACAAATTTCAGATGCAACAATTCAATAATTCATCACAAAATCATCGATCATAATTTCTGCAATATCGATTACAAATTAAACCTAATATTCACATAATCAAATGACATTCATCACAGATTCAACAATTAAATAATAATTAAATTCATCCCAAATTAATCCCAAATTCATTAATCTAATTAATATCCATCACAGCAAATTCATAGAAACTAACCTGCATTGATCTCTTCGGGAATAACAATCAAATTCATCATTTCAATTTCACGAAATCAATGGAAGATAAAAGTATAAAAAACAGAGGAGAGAAAAAGTGTTTATGGTAGTGAAAGTATAGAAATCAGAGAAAATTTTGATCAAAATTATTGTAGGAAAAAAAGTGAAGAGAGATAATTTAAAAAAAGGAAACAAAAAATTTTAAACGGAAAGAAGAATTACAAGAAGAACTTAACTAAAAAAGAAAGAAGAAAGAGGTGGACTGGTTTCATGTGCTAGAAGTTGCATTAATGATGTTGCAGCTATTATAAACCTGACAATCCTGACCCGACCCGAATGACCTGACCTGTGACCTGTAAGTTGACCCGAAACCATTAACCCGAAAATGACCCGAACCCGAACCTAAACCCGACCCCAAATGGAGTTGACCCGAACATGATCCGATGCCCGAAATGATCCGACCCGAAATTGACCCGAAATCCAAACTTGACCCGACCCGAAGTGACCCGAAATCCAAAGTGACCCGACCCGATTTAAAGCCGAATCGACTAGTCCCGAATTGACCCAACCCGAAGTGACCCGATTCCTGAAGAGAATAGGGTGAAACGGTGAATTACTTATTTTAGGGTTTCTTTCTTTCCTAAGTAATAGGTACTCACGATTTTTTTTTTATTTTTCATAACGATTTCACTTTATTTTTCCAACTATTTTTTTAAGTGACTTTTATTTTGGTAAACCGACCCGAATTGACCTGACCCGACCCGAATTAACTCGACCCGAAATTGACCCGAAAATTGGTCTTGAAAATTGACCTGACCCGAAGTGCTAACCCAAAATTAACCCGAAACCCAAATTGACCCGACCCGAATATTGCTGACCCGAAATTAACCCAATTCGATTTGACCCAAGCCAAACGACCCGTTTGCCAGGTCTACATGCAGCTAAGAATATGCATTTAGCTAGGCCTAATCGAATATCCGTGATTGGGTCAAGTCCAATATTTAACCCAATGTGACACATCACAATGTCAAGTTCAACTAAAGGTAATCATGAGTCGAGCCATGTTAGGACCAAAAAAGCCCAAACCTACTATTTCGAGCCAGAATGACGGGATTTTCAACCTACGCCAAATTCAAATCAAGCCAAAATTTAAATTGAAAAGAAATTTTGGGCTACCCAAATCAAAAAATTAAAAATTTGGGTTCAAAAACACCGTCCAAACCCGATATTTATCGGGTTAGGCTGCTTTTAATCAAGTACAACCCATCAGTATTCAATTCTTATCTCCCAAATCAGTCTCGAAATGAATTTCAAACTCATACGGAGTCAACGTTCTTCCAATTCACAAGAGGAGTCAACGTTCTTCCAATTCACAAAAATATTCGTGAGGAGTCAAGATTCTTCTAATTCACATAATAGGAGTAAACGTTCTTCCCATTCATAAGAATCTCATCAAATTAGATGGACAAGATACTAAACTCGTTGAAGGTGAACAATCGAAAACATATGAGTACTTATATTCCAAAGAGGATACAATCATACAAAGGTGATTTGATCGTCGACTAAAACAGGAAAACATTTCCAATACAAAAAAGCAAAAGCTAACAAACACTCCAAAAACATAGAATAAATTGACTGTAAACGTTAATTACACTTATTAAACGTAACTTTAACATGCATTTTCAAATTAATACTTCATCTGTTCTTTTTAACTTGACCTGTTTTTTTTATCACGCTTGTTAATACAAAAGTTTAACGATCAATAACTTTAATTCTACATAAGTAAAAATTATAAAAGTAATATATTATGATAGTACTTATTGAGACGAATAAAAAAAATGCCACGTGATTATGTTTTCCTTACATATTATTCACAAAAGACAATTAAAAAAGGAGTGATGAATAGTGTAAAAGTCAAAGAGGGTAAAGTAAAAAAGCATGGAGATTGTATCATTTTAAATTCCAACATGTGAAAGGACGAAATTACTCTGTTAACTCGGTAAGGCATTACAGTAATACTCCTCCATTAAAGGCTTCAAGCTTTTCACTTTTTGCTGCACCGTTTCGCTCTTGCTCTCTCCTCTCCATTGAAGCATACTCGGAAATCACCATTGAACCACCTTCTCAGGTACGATTTATTTTCCTTTTAAAATCATTGAATTGAAGTTTCACAATCTAGGGTTTAGTTTCACTCAATCCTAAATCAATTTCTTTTTCGTTTGATGTCAATTGATGATTGTTGGTTAATCTATTAATTATTATAGAAGATTTACAGGGGTTAAAATTTTAAATTTTTTTTTAATACTCAATTGATATAGGAATAACATGCTGATTTATTAATTGTATTGATGTTCAATGTTCTCCCTTTGGGTTAGGCCTTTGGCGTGAATTTTGCTAAGTATCTCGCAAATTTCTTCAATTCTAGCAACATTCAAAGTGGAATCCGAAATTCAAACAAATAAAGTATTGATTATGAACTTGAATTGATTTTCCCTCCAATCAATTTTTCAAGGTCAGCAAATTCATTCACTAATAATAAAATCAGGTCTTGATTCCAATATTTTTTAATTCAGAACAGTTTAATTAGTATGTATGTTAAATGTAGTCAGATTGGTGTTGCTTAATCGTTATTCAATTCGTGCTCTCGATTGGATTCGATTTTGTGTAATATTATGCTTGGTGCTTATGTGAAATCTGGTATGTTGGTGTGATGCCCTCCAATTGTTAATTGAATAAATTTAAGTTGGATTATGTATAAATTAGGCTCTAATCAAACTTATAGAACATCAAATTAGAAATCCAAAATCAAAACCATATGTCCCAATAACATGGGAGATAGGTTGTTATATGGTACTCTAATTACCTTTTTTAGAGAATGACATGTTTATGAATGTAAGCCCTTGATTAGATTGTGAATTTGTTCCTAAATATGTAAACTTGTGAAGAACCTTTGTAATACAAGTAGATTTTTTGAGTTGTAATTTAATTAAGTACTTGTATATATTGCTACGTACTTTTTTTAGTCATTTAGTATGTTAATTATTATTCTTTAGTATTTGGTTGTAATTACTAAAGTTATGAAAGATTATAACGAGCAATCTTGTTGCTATTAGTTTGCTAAATTGCTATGTGCACTTTATATTGTTGTTCTTAAGCAAGAAGGATTTTTTGTTCACTTTATGTGGTTATTGGAGCTTACTTTGATAATAGAGTCAGATTTGGTTGCTAAAGTGTTGTAGGCTCTTGTTTATGACCTTTACATTAGAATGGAAATATGTAATGGACATTTTTTTCTCCCAGGGAAGCTGCTCCTCTTCCTGGATCAGGGACAGGGACAGGCCTTGTTAGGCGTAATGTGTGCTTGAACCTATTTTGCTGAGAGTAGTTTAGTTAGCCAATATTCTGACTGCTGAAGAGTATATCCTAAGCATGCCTCATCTCTCCAATACTGCAGTTATGAAGCATAAGCTAAGATGATGAATAACTACTCCTTTTAGTGAATTACCTACTAAATAGTAAAACAACTGAAGTGTAACCAAATATTGCTTTATTTTTGTCTTTGGAGTTGTTAGGGAAGGGGGTTACCATTTGAGGCCCTCGAGTATTGTTTGACTTGATGCATGAATTGTGATAAAGATCCTCGTTCTTATCTTAATTAGTTAAAAAAAATATGCATTGGCTTTGCTTGGATGCCTTACTGCTTGTCATGGTGAAGAATTATGGTCTTGCTGACCACCATGTTAGTTACTCATAATATTTTTCTTTCCCTTTACAGCTAGATTGAAATGGAAAAATTAAAAATTTGTGGATGCACATGACTGAATTCTTGTTCTGAATAAAAGAAATGGGTCCGCGGTGGAAAGGGAAAGATGCGGAAGCAAAAGCTTTTGCTGAACCAATGTCGGGAATAGTTTCAGCACTTCAATCATCTCTAGCCACATCAGAATGCAAGGGATCTATATCTGGATGTAGGGTGCTTTTTAAAGCGAGTACAGAACAATCTGAACTTCTAAACCGTGCATGTTTTGGCCGGGTTATTGTAACCAGCCAAAATGATCAACATTGGTATGAATTTACTTTGCAAGAAGCTTTTTATTTATGCTATGCATTGAAGTGTTTGAAGATTGTGGGAGACGATGGTGTTGTGAAAACTTCTGTGGACCTGTGGCAATTCATGATTTCAAAAGTTGAAATGTTTCCTGAGTATTTCAAAGCATACGCCCATCTAAGAATGAATAATTGGGTAGTTAGGTCAGGATCCCAGTATGGTGTTGATTATGTTGCTTATCGCCACCATCCAGCTTTGATCCATGCAGAATATGCTGTTCTTGTACTATCAGAAAGAAATGATAACTCCAGTGGACGGCTGAAGTTGTGGTCTGATTTGTATGGTACAATTCGGCTTTGTTGTGGTGTTGCTAAGACTTTGCTAGTTTTACATGTCCTAGGCATTAGTAAAGACAACTCTCCAGTGTGTTTGGAGAATTACGAAATAGAACCACGTATAATCTCTAGATGGATTCCAGAGCAAACTCGTGAAAAGAAAACAGATTCTAAAATTTGTGGTGAAGCTAAGACGCATACTTGATATTTGAAGTGCTTTTTTTTTTTTTTTTTTTTTTTTTTTTTTTTTTTTTTGTCATGATAACAATAGCATACTTTGTTTTGGATTCTGCTACGTTATTCAGTAACTTATTATCCTCTTTTAACATGGGCGTCAAAGAGGTCTGAGCACCCTGTCTGTTTAGCATCATTTGCATTGATCTTGTATGTCCTACATTTATATTGCTGACAGCCATTCGGCAGCTTCATTATTTCATTACTTGTCTGCTTGTCGAGCTTGATTGATACCTATTTGTTGTGGGAATTCGATATAGAATGTGTACTAAGATCCAGAGGTTTTCCCTTGATAGGTAGGCTCTCTAATCGACCCTCATCCAAGGTGTGCCATACTTGTAGCGTTCTAAAGAATGTTCTTTGTTGTAAGTTTGTACAATTCGCATATCAAGCTAGAGTGTATGGAATTGAAAAGTAAAAGTCAACAGAACTTCAGGTGGAATTGGTTTAGAAAATTCTAAGGAGCAGCCTGCATCTAGGATATAGACACTTCATCCAATTGTCGTGTTTGTGTCATACTCTGACACTCGTGCGACGCACAATGATACGTCTCAGACACACCTAAAAACCGTGTTCGATTATTTTATAGGAAAAATATACTTTGATAATCCTAGCTAACGTTTATCATCTAATAATCCCAAGTATGCTATCAGTTTGCCTCCAACGGTCCCAATCGGACAACGACTTGTTATGACAGGTAACCACAAAACGTGTCAACACGTGATTGGTCCAAATTAAAAAAAAATATAAAAACAAATAAACCCAAAATTCTCAGCCACCCTTTCCCCACCGTCAAACCTTAACCCCACCCGTAGCCTCACCGAAAATCGGCCAGCCACCACCCTCCCTTGCCCACCGAAACCGGCCAGTCAACCCTGTACACCCCGTTTAACCCACCCCTGACCCTGGAAACCACCCTCCCAGCCCATCCTGACCCCAAAAATCACTAACCTGTCCCTTGAAACCAGACGCCCTCTCCCTTCCTCCACTACCAAAATCGCCCCTCCTCCTTTACCCAACCCTCGAAATCGGCCATTTCGGTGGTGGGGGAAGGGAAGAGGGGCGGTTTTGCCAATGGAGGAAGGGAGAGGGCCTGGTATCGAGGGTTGGGTTGGAGGTTTTTGGGGTTGGGATGGTTGGGTGGGTGGTTTTTTGGATTGGGGTGGCTGGTTTCGGGGGTCGGTCAAAGGGGGTGGTAGAGGGTGGGCCGACCGACTGATTTTGATGGTTTGGGGGAGGGGGGGGGGGGGGGGTGGCCGATCGATTAGGGGTTGATGGTGGGGGAAAGAATGGTTGGGAATTTTGGGTTTTAATTGTTTTTATTTTCTTAAGCAATTTTTTTTTTTTTAATTTTTAAAATTTGAACCAATCATGTATCGACACATGATGACATGACTTATTAAAAAAAAAAAACACTTTTTCAGCAAGTTACTAATTATTGAGATCATTATTGGAGGCAAATTGATAGCATAGTTGGGATTATTAGATAATAAATCTTAGTTGAGATTATTAGAAGTAAAGCTCCCATACTTGGGATTATTAAAGTGTATTTTTTCTATTTTATATATTCGAACACTTCAACAATGATACAATCTGTTAACGTTTTTTAATAATTGAAATTATGATTGGTCATGTTTTTCATTTTCATTTTCATTTTTATTTATTTATTTTTTATTTATTTATTTATTGTTTAACAATTTTATTTGGTTATTTAAAGATGATAGTATTAAGTTTTTTTTTAAGGAGAAATTGATTCTAATAATCCCACTTTTGGCCGGTTCACTGTTAATAATCCCATCTTTTGATTATTATCTAATTTTTTCTATTGATCCCTTACTTGTTGGTCTTGATAACCATTTTTGATAGGTAAATATGCTACGTGTCACTTTGTGATTGGTTGAAAGTTTTTTTTTGATAGGTAAACCTAAGCCACCCCATTCTAACTTCCTGCCGCCGTCCCTTCCCACCCCTCCACCCTCCGGCAGCCCCTTTCCTCACCCCCACCACCATCGGAATCTTCCCTTTCCACGACCCACCCAACGACAAAGCCCCCCTCCCCGTAATCCATCATGAAACCCTAAACCAGCCTCAAAGAGAATCTCATATAAATGTGGGATTATTAATAGAGAACCAGCCAAAGGGTGGGATTGTTAGAATCAATTATTTTTCCTTTTTTTAAAACATATTACTATATGAATTTTAACATGTCGTACTCGCATCCACTATTTTGAGATTGACATTTTTCCGTATATGATCTGTTTTGTACTCGTATCCGTGTCAATACCCGTTCTTGTGCAACCTTGGCCTACATCACACGTCTTTTACTGCAACAAAGCAAATATGTAGTGAAGAAAGTAATTGAGGCCCATTCACTTGATTTAAAAAAAGAAAAAAAAACCTTACACTAAACCCCAACACTTTTTCACTCTCCTTAAAACCTTAAACCCTCCCTCTTTTGCTCTTCCAACATTCCATCATACTTCCCCATCTATGGCGGCTGCCACCACCAGTGAAAGCCAGAAGAAGTGCAACAAATGCAGTCTATTAGACCTAAAAACCCTAGGCCAACAGCTCTTCTCTTGAAGAGCTCACATCAACAACCTTCCTCTTCTTCTCACTTACATCTCCACTTCTTCTTCGCCTTCATTCGTCGTCGAATCTCTTCTCTCTCTTCAATCCTTCTTCCCCCCTATCATCTCCACTCTTCTTGCTTCCTCTAATGGCGTTGTTGCTTCCGATCTCGAACTCATTTGGATCCGCTCTTAACTCGACGACCTCGTCAAGTCGTTGGTTTATATCGCGTTTCTCCTCTCTGTCGTGAGACTGTTAGTGTGAGTCTCTTTGATTCAAAAATTTTGTACAGTTTATGAAATTTCGTGTGTTTTCTTTGATTATTTTTTATAAGGAAAATTTGTTAGAAACCACCTTTTAAAATACTTTTTTTTTGTGTGAAAAACCACCTTATAAATTTTTTTATAAGAACACATCTAAAATAGAAATTTTTTGCAAGATTACACCTTAGGCCGGTTTCAAGGAATTGACCCTGTTCCCCAGCATTGACCCTCACGTGAGGGTCATGTGCTCAACCCTTCCCTTTGTTTTTTTTTTCTCCAATTACTCTCTCTCCTCTAAACCACCAAAAGCATAGCTTAGCCAACCACAACCATTGACACCACCACCTAACTGCCACTAGAACCACCTCTCAGTCGTCGACACCACCACCCATCAACCTAGCCACCATCACCGCTCACCGAAATTACTCTAAACCAACCCAAAATTATCGAAGTGGACATTACATTATTTTAAAGCTCATCTAAATGCCTTGATCCTCATGTCCATTCACAAATGTCCAAAATGCTTACAATCATATGAAATTGTTATGAATAATCACAAATGTTCAAAATGCTTACAATCATATGAAATTGTTTTGAATATATTGGTTTGACAAACTAACTTGTAAATTAACAAATCAATCTTAATGCAAGAAATTTATAATGGTTCAATCAATGTGAGGTACATCCATATTGGAAAGATTAATTATGACACTTACTATTCTTTTAATGGAAGAATTATCAAGGTGATGAAAAGGGGGGGGGGGGGGGAGAATGTGAAAAGGTAGACACAATACTTGGTAATAAACCAACCCAACGGCCAAGATTAGAGTGCGTTAGTCAAATAGAAGTGAAACCATAGTACGTTTGAGAGAGCCAACCCACTATTAGGACGAACCATACATGGGTCTTGGCATACCTCTTAAAAGTATTTTAATTTTACACAAAGGGTTCCAGCTGAACATTCCTTTTGGGCAGACTTTTTCCTTCATTGAAACCATTGCACACCTAATGGCCCAGGCCACTAATGCTCAACCTTAGACAAGCCCTCATATTAATAAACATATTTATATTTCAAAAATGGGACACCTGTAAATAAAAATAACTTTTTTTTTTTTAATATTTTATGTTTCGGGTGAAAACAATGGGACCTTGCCGAAGGTCCGCTGAAACGGAGAAGACTGGATTCGGTCCAAGTTATGATGGGCCGAAGGTTTCCTGCACAGTAAACACACGTAAACTAGCCTCGGGGGTGTTGCCGAGGAAGGCCCCTCCGATGCTAAAGTCAGTACAATGTGTAGAAAGAGAACAATATGCAAGAGAATTAGTTGCTTGAGGCTTTGCTTGAATATATGAGAATATATGAATCTATGAATATTGATGGCTTTTATACCTCTTCATACATGGAGAGGTTGGGCCTTAGCCCAATTGGCTTGCTTTGTGGGCTGACCTTTGACTTTAGCACAATTGGAGAGTTGAACCTTGACCTTGGGCTTTTAATTGGATCATTTAATGCCTAGGCCCAATTGGACTAAATTGGACCCAAACAACTTGCCCCCCAGACCCGATTTGGAAGGATGACGGGTCGGGTTTGATTTAATTCAGAAAAGGAGGGAAGTAAATGATTTAATTAATCCAAAAATTTGAATTTAAACCGTAATTAATGAGATAACAACGGTTAAGGCGGATGATGGTGGAAGTTGGACGGATAATGGGCAGTTTAATCGCAAGGTCGTGTGTTTAACGGTTACTTAGTGGGGTATTTAAGAGAAATTGAAACGCGGACTCCCCGTATCCCATTCCTGGAGATATAAACAGAGGCGCGTCATCTCTCCTCACTTATTCACCAACACAAACCCATAATTCTCGAGAGAAACCAAGAACCCGCATCAAAACTTCGCAAATTCCCCGAGCATTAAGCTTAGACACTGAGACTTGCCACTACGAACTCGTAAATCGGCAACTTTCGCTTCAGATTAAGGTAAATTCCTTTGATTTCAGTTTATTTTTCTTCGAATTCGAACTCCTTCCCCTTTTTTTTGACTTTTTTCTTCGAAATAATCAATGGCAAGAGGAGTTAGAGGTAGAGCCCGTGCTCCAAGAAGAGCAAGGCCAATTCCCGATCCTAGGAACAGGATTGGGACCTGGAATGGACAAAGGCCAGAGTCTGACCCTGCTGAAGGGATTAGGGCGACTCCAATTTCCTCGGCTCCTCCTCAGAGAACGGAGGGGCCGAGCGCTTCTGGACGGGACGATGAAGTTCCCGCTGTCCTTTGGGATATCCTC